AAGTCTGTCCCGTTGAGCACACCAGTGATTGGGAAAGCTGTTGGCGGTCACGATGTCGAAGCGCCTGAGTCTGCACTGCTGGCAATTCGTCTACATACTGCTGCTGGACCCGTGGAGCTCGCAGAACCCGTCAACTGTCTCATTATTGAGCAAGACGATGGTGAATTTATCATCGGTAACGATGTGCTGCTCTCTCTTGGAATTAATGTGGACAGACAACTGGAACAACTTGCTGGTGGTAAACTCAATGACGATGAGGATCCCATTGCGAGTGATGATGAATTTCGGCCTGGCCATGCAAATGACCTTGGCATCCAGGAAGGGCTTGAAAAACTGTTCACTGCTGCACTGGATAACGGTTTTCCGGTGGAATCCATGGAGGAACTGCGTCGAATTGCTAAGAAGCACGACATTTGGCGAATAGTTCTCTGTGATGACCCTCCTGCTAAAGTGCCACCGTACAAGCTTCGCTTGAAGCAGGATGCAAAGCCTTTCCGCTGCAAAGCTCGGCAGTACGGACCCTTACAGAGCGCGTTCCTGAAGGAATTCAACCAGACTCTTGTGGACCTTGGTTGGGTCTTCAAAAACCCTAGCAGTCATTGGGCTTGTGCTGCCCTGCCTCTTAAGAAGCCGAAGGTCAATGAGTTTCGCCAAGCGGTGGATTACAAGCCGTTGAATGCGATGACCGAAGCAATTGCAGGCGTCATGCCTAACTTGAAGACAAAGTTGGAGCGATTGAAAGGAAAGAAACACTACGGTCTTTTCGACTTTATCCGCAGCTTTTGGCAACTTGCTGTGGCGATAGAAAGCAGAGAGCAGCTCTCGTACATGACGGATGAGGGTGTGTTCACGCCAACCCGTGTGATGCAAGGAAGTTGTGACGCGGCGTTACATTTTCAAGTCTCGATGAAGAACTGTTTCGCTGAGCTACTCGATCACCATTTACTTATATGGATTGACGATCTCTTGTTCTACTCTGGAATTATAGAGAGTTACCTTGCTGCTCTAGAGCGGTTGTTTGACTTGGTGAACGAATTCGGATTGAAGTTGAGTCTGAAGAAGTCCTCGTTGTACCAACGCTCAGTTACGTGGTGTGGTAAGGTGATTGATGAGAATGGTGTTCGTCATGACCCAAAACGGATTGAAGGGCTCACTTCCATGCCAGTACCAGTCACAGCGGGACAACTGCAGCAGTTTATCTGCGCAACGAACTGGATGCGAGACAGTTTGGTTGACTACGCTCGCACCATTCGGCCGTAGCAATCGCTGTTGGATCGTGCACTTGCTGGTAAACGAAAGACGAA